CACTGCTTCATCAGATTATCTTCAAGTTTATGTTTGAAATGCAAAAATGGCCTTCCACTAATCTACTTGTTAAAAGTTGGACAAAGAGAAATTATTTTGGAAGTCTACTAACACTTATACAAAAAAAGATGTCCTACCCACCCAAGTTGGATTTTTATGAAGATGGCTTCAATACCTGTCATGTTGCATATTATATATATATATATATATATATACACACACAAGTATAGAATTGGTGTATATGGAATAAATTCCAATAACCAAAAAAATACTATTCTTAAAAGAGTGCTCAATACAGAGTAGAACACCTGTCCTGTTTCTCATCTATATAAAGGTTTGAAATAATTATATATTATATATTTCACGACACTTGACTCTACATTTGAATGATAACTAACATTTTTGGCATTTAAAACAACATGCCTGGCTACATACACAATTCCGGAAAATCCTTGTTAAAAACACAACTATACTTAAACATGAAAACAATAAACAAAAACTAAAAATTCTTGAAGCTATATACATAAAACAGTTGAAACCTAACCTGAACAAAATAATCTATGAAATCTCCACAAATATTCTTAAATGCCTATAATTCATAACAGAAGCCATTGGTTTATACAAACGGCTTCCCATACTTAATACTTCTTGAATTCATTCTCGCATGGTCATGTGTGACGTCATGAGTTGTGATTTTCACTTCCGCGTCTTGTATACATGAGTTTGTTGTTGCTTTGAAATTTTTCATGCACCAAAAACAGACTATCATTATTGTTTTGTCCGTGTATTGTTTAATATATTGAAATGTAATTGTCATCTTTGATAATGACTTATGTAAGCCAAAAGCTTAGATAGGATTAAAAAACATGTATCAATATGGTGATTTTCTTTCATCTTTCAATGATAACGTTATTAAGCTTATCAGACAATATGAAAGGAATTTACTTAAAATAGACAAAACTTGATGAATCATGCATCTATATATATATATATATATAGACACACACACACACAGGTAATCAATCCATTGGTATATAATCCAAGTGGATCATAGTAATATAAAATATTAAAACTGATCCACAAAAAGAGCTCATTGTATTTATTATAACAGAAGATATAAATAGTATTACACAACAAAATCTAAAATTACCCCATGTGGTGGGGAGGGGGATAAATCTATTTCAGCCAATGAAAACTATGTCAGTCTTATTCAACCCTGGTGTACAGATCGAGTCTGTGCCAGAATTAGAAATTTAACTGATAGCTGTTGAAAAATTGATACAGAATTTATCCATTTCAATGTTTCAATCAGACGAAATGACTGAGATGAAATTCCACCCTCCTCTAACCACCATCTCATGATTTACTTTGATTAACAAACTATTTTATTTGGTTGAATAAACGTGGACAGAAACTACAAACGATTTAACAGTAACACTTCTACAAACCATTCAACACAATTCTACATTAATTTCAGAAATTGTTTCCATTTTGCGCCTGAAGGTTGAAAACTATAAAAATAAATAAATAAAAAAAAAAAGAAAAAGATCTTTACATCTGCTGCACTAATAAAAAGGCATTTCTACTGCAACCGCAAAAAAAGGGTGTTACTTTTGCTGCACTATATATGAAAAGCCAGAAATATCTAACTGCCCTACTCTGCTCTGATTAAATGTTTAATGCATGCAATGTGCAATCTTCTAATGGATTATGGGTTACATTTCCGTGCTATCCAAATTTATTTTAAGTATCAAATTTCTTTGTTTGATTCAGCTCTTTGAGCCTTTACAAGTTGTCTTATGTATTCTCTTTCTTTTTATTACTATTATACTATTATCTTTCTTTTCTATGGCCATAATTCACTAGAGTTGGATGATTTTGGTAAGGTCAATAATTCATATATATATATATATATATATATATATATACACACACACACACACACACACTAAGATATGCTTTGAGCAGATATGATCATTCGAGAAAAATCATGGGAAATTTGTTATCTAGAAACAGTAATTTGACTTTGCTAACTAGATGCTTCCTCTGTAGCTAAATGGTATAGCATGTCCAGTCAAATGACAGGTTCGATTCTTGTTGGAAGACATATTTTCTATGAAATTTCTCAGATGTTCAGACCGGTAAATGTTGCTAATACTGTTTATTATAAACAAAGCGTTTACTTAAATATTTGTATCTATAAAATAAATGTATAAACAGAAAATATTAAAATAATTGTCAGACTTAGTCCATTACATTATATATATTTTTTTTTTCTTTTGCAAATACAACCCAAGCAGGAATGGACTTTTGAGAAGTCCTGAACAAGGGGATGTGCATTGCTTAAAATGGTAAATGGAACGTGGCTGGTCTGTGAGGTTCCCCATAGCTAAGTGTCATAAATTGTGTCTACATTTCGTAATACAGACTGTATACTGGATCAGTAAGTGGTTTCTCCTACAATGGGGAATGCAGGTTCAAACCCTACTGGATTTGCTTTAAATTTTCTCAAGTGCACAGGTCAGTAGATGTAATATACACCGTTTAAAAAAACCTTGAAATGTCTCGTCAAATACAGGTATCTACTAATATTTGAAGTAATAATAATATATTGTTTTGAAAATGACAGAGTGCATTCTTTAAAAAGGAACCTTTTTCATCCAACACTTCTTCAGAAAGTTTCGTTGAAAAGAAAAAAAAAAAAATCAAATGTACAAAAAAATAAGAACTTTCTTCATTTTTTGTGCCTCATGGGTGGGCTGTGTGGACAAATTTTTTTTTTATACTCATTTGGAGCTTATTTACATCTGTTTATGTTTTAGCAATAAATTTATTTTAATCATGGCTCCTTATTTATCTTCCATGCACCTTTTTCAGTTTCACAGTTTATGATTATTTTTTTTTTTGTATGTTTGGGTTCTTGTTCCAACAAATCTTCCTAAAGAAGTGTTGGACGAAAAAGCTTCCATTTAAAAAATGCGCTCTCATTTTTAAAACTACATATAAATTCTGTACTATAAAATTTTTGTTCAAATTATATATCACACACAATTTCTGTTCAAGAATCATCCAACCATTTTGAACATTTTGAGAACAGGTTGTACAGATTTAATGTAATTTGTCATACAATCAGAGAGAACCGTACTGCACATACATCAACTAACACTCTCGCCTGTGGTTATTTGGGAGTGAGACACTCAGAAGTGAACTTGTGTACTGCACAAGTGTTGCATTCACAATGACATTCTGTGCAGAGCCGTTTTTCAAAACAGCACATTACCAGGTCAGTCTGAGATGAAATAAAATCATATTAAGAATTAAGCAATTAATACAAGAAGAGGTGTGGGTGGATTAACAGGAAAATGGAATTGATAATCCTAGCTCAAATTCTGGTTGAGATAATTTTCATTTTGTACTAATGTTCCCGGAGAAAGCCATTAATCTGTTTCTGCCCACCAAGCTATGGGCTGAATATCAAGATAAGCAGGCTGTTTAACCTTGGTTGGAAACCAGCCTAGAAGATGATTAACTTTGAATTAAAAAAAATAATAGAAGTAGATAGGTTTGCCTATTGTCCATTGAAACTCCTCCCCACTCTTTTGAACAGGAGTAGAGGTTTATCGCTTGTTTCCTGTTTAGGATTGGGTTTCCACTTCCTTTGAAAGTCTACTTCAACTATATACATCTAACAACTCAGCCCAAACTCTGAAAATTTACTATTTATTTATTTACTTGTTTGTTTGTTTTCCCTCAATAGGAGTAGATAAGTTTGCCTATCATCCTGTTCACTCCTCCCCAGTCTTTTGAACAGGAGTAGAGGTTTATCACTTGTTTCCTGTTTGGGATTGGGTTCCCAGTTCCTTCTAAAGTCTTTTCATTCTCTTTCACTCCCAGTAGCCCCTTGCGTCTTAGTAGCATTATTGCCTTGCTAAGGATGAATTGATTAACCCCCTCTCCACCTCCCAAAAAACAAACAGCAAAAAAAAAAAAAGGAAGGCAACAGAAAACCATTTCACTACCTTTCTCAAAAATAGTTATAGTAATACACAATTTACAGATATTAAAAAGAAAGGAAGCTGCAGAGAGCCATGATCATCTATATCCTGAAAGGGCATGGTACTTAAAAGAGGGTGACTGTTAGTTGAGAGAATAAACCATCCTTTTTTTTTCTTAAGATATAGAATATTAAGTTAAAAATAAACTTTTATAGAAATATTAAGAGTTTGAACTTAACTTTTTACTTAAACATGTTTTTAATAAGTTAAAAGTGCAAGAAAAGCAACTGCTCATGTGGTGTTTAAATTTGGCAAGTTTTTGGACACTGTGACAAAAAAAAAAAAAATCCATATTTTAAAATATTTCTCTTTATTCATTATAGTAGTTGCATATAATGTGACGTTTTTCACTTAGAATGTGGGTAATTTCTATTTAAAAAAAATTTCCTTTTTTTACAATTAAATATAACTTTTCAAAAACTAAAACTGTGAGGAAAAATATCGATTTATTTTATAGGTGAATCTGGGGAAAAACTGTGTTTAAATCAGAATTGGTGCTTTGAAAAGTCATAAATAAAATTTAGATATAGAATTTTTTTTTTTTTTTTTAAAGAGAATTACAAGAGAAAATAATTCTTTTTGACTTTGAATTTTAAAAGATTTCATTACAAAAATTGGATTATAAATATTTGTCAATTGTTTACTTTATGTTGGGAAATTAAAAAATATATGCATTTCTGAATGTTCCTCTTTAGAAAAATCTTTGTGAAAAACCTGCGAGAAAAAGTGTAAAGCAGTTATTGTTGTTGTGTCTACATTTCGTAATACAAACTGCAGAAAATAACGTCAAACTGATAAAATGTATTTCGACATGTTGAATACCAACAGATGTTTTCTGAAATGATTTTTTCTAGTTCTGATGAGTGAGGATTTGTTTTTTGTGTAACACCTCGTCCAGCAAAAAAACAAAAAACCTTCTTCCAAAAGTATGAGAAAAAGAAAGAATTAGAACAATAGAAGGAAAAAAAAAAGAAAAAAGAAAAAAAGAAAGGAAAAAAGAAAGGAAAAAAAGAAAAAAAAAAAGAAAGGAAAAAAAAAGAAAGGAAAAAAGAAAGGAAAAAAGAAAGGAAAAAAAGAAAGGAAAAAGAAAGGAAAAAAGAAAGGAAAAAAAGAAAGGAAAAAAAAAGGAAAAAAGAAAGGAAAAAAAGAAAGGAAAAAAAAGAAAAAAAAAGAAAGGAAAAAAAAAAGAAAAAAAAGGAAAAAAAGAAAGGAAAAAAGAAAGGAAAAAAGAAAGGAAAAAAGAAAGGAAAAAAAGAAAGAAAAAAAAAAAAAAAAGAAAGGAAAAAAGAAAGGAAAAAAAAAAAAGAAAGGAAAAAAGAAAGGAAAAAAAAGAAAGGAAAAAAAAGAAAGGAAAAAAAAGAAAGGAAAAAAAAGAAAGGAAAAAAAAGAAAGGAAAAAAAAGAAAGGAAAAAAAAGAAAGGAAAAAAAAGAAAGGAAAAAAAAGAAAGGAAAAAAAAGGAAAAAAGAAAGAAAAAAAAAAGAAAGGAAAAAAGAAAGAAAAAAGAAAGAAAAAAAAAGAAAGGAAAAAAAGAAAGAAAAAAAAAGAAAGGAAAAAAGAAAGGAAAAAAAAAGGAAAAAAAAAAAGGAAAAAAAAAAGAAAAAAAAAAGAAAAAAAAAGAAAGGAAAAAAGAAAGGAAAAAAAGAAAGAAAAAAAAGAAAGGAAAAAAAAGAAAGGAAAAAAAAGAAAGGAAAAAAAAGAAAGGAAAAAAAAGAAAGGAAAAAAAAGAAAGGAAAAAAAAGAAAGGAAAAAAAAGAAAAATATCTGAGACCAAAATATTCAAGTTCATGGGTTAGTGGGTGACAAAATGGTCAGGGTGGGGGAAAAAATATCAAAGAAATCCAAATAAAAGGGTGTGATGGGGAGGAATTGGTGAGGAGATTATGAATCGAATGATGTTGTCTCAGTGAGTGGTGAATACTTGACTTTATAGTCTCTACCATCAGGATGACTCAGGCGAGGAAAATGTCGACAACGCTGGACGGAGACGCTTGCACAAAAAAGCAACAAAATGGCAGAAATCGAAGCCAAACAGAAGAGAAATATAACACTTGGGGTGAGGGTTAAATGAGAGTAGATGTTATAACTAACGTTCAGTACCCACTGGTCGTCCAGATAACTACTCTCATTTTGATGGTTCGTAGGGAAACCGATTCCACCAAATATGAAGAAATTGTCTTTCAATGACCACTGAATGCTGTTGTATCGAGCCAAGGGTTGCTCGTACTGGTGAACTGGGCCATGGTAGTTTTGGTCTTCAGTTGTCCTGTTATTTGGTGCCATCATCTTCCAAGTGAGATTTTGTGTATTAAACAACCAGAGATCCGAAAATGGCTCCTTGCTCAATTTCATTTCCAACAGGCTGGTGTCTTTGTTACCAACTCCACCAAATAACCATAAGTTTTCTTTGGAGTCCGTCCATCCAGCACTCTTCCCCCGACACTGAGGGATATTTTCAGATGCCAGGCAATTTGAGAGTCTCTTTGAAGATGACAAACTTCTGTGATGGACACAACCGGATATACAAGCCCAGGTAGAATTTTCCAATGAAAAAACCCACAGATCGGAAGTGTATCCAGCACTTTTCAATTTCCGATGAGTGAAAGGGTTAAGAATGTTACCACCAAACATATAGAGATTATTATCTTTACCGACCCATGTGGTAGCATCACTCCTTCCCCTTGGTAACCCCGTATCATTCCAGGGTGTGGCATAGATTTCTGTCCAGGTAAGATCACTCAAAGAAAAACTCCACATATCAGAGAGCAAGGAATTTTGGTCACGTCCTCCAAAGACAATCATGTGGTCCTCAAGACACCAGACTGCAGATGCCCACCTTGAGGGAGGTGACCTGAAATAGAAAGAGAGTTAACTATTTTAGTTTTCTTAAGACATTTACAAATTGATTCTTTTCATCAAGGACCAAATGCTTCAGTGTGAAGTTGTTCCACTTAGGTTCATCAAGATTAAAAAAAAAAAAAAAAATTATCACTATTGTGGAGGAGGAGAGGGAAAATATTCCCATTTGGTCATCAGATTAAGAATTCAAAATTTTGTTTTGGTTGCTACTGAACATATATATATATATATATATATAGGAGAGAGAGAGAGTAAAAAATGGATTTATGGGATGCTAATTATATCTAAGATGTAAATTTAATTACATATTCATACTACATGAAAAAATAGTTTATATATATATATATATATATATAAAGAAAGGGAAACAATATAAACAAAACTAAAAAAGTGGAAAACAAAAAAACCAAAGGAAATCAAGAACAGGAAAGGAAAACAAAAAAGTGGAAAAAAACAGGAAGTAAGGAAGAAAAAAAAAAAAGGAAGAAAAGAAAAAAAGGAAGAAAAGAAAAAAAGGAAGAAAAGAAAAAAAGGAAGAAAAGAAAAAAAGAAGAAAAGAAAAAAGGAAGAAAAGAAAAAAAAAAAAAAAAGGAAAAAGAAAAAAGAAAAAAAGAAAAAGAAAAAAAAAAAGAAGAAAAGAAAAAAAGAAGAAAAGAAAAAAAAAAGAAGAAGAAAGAAAAACAGAAGAAAGAAAAACAGAAGAAAGAAAAACAGAAGAAAGAAAAACAGAAGAAAGAAAAAGAAGAAAAAGAAAAAAGAAAAGAAAAGAAAAAGAAGAAAGAAAAAAAAGAAAAAAAAAAAGAAAAAGAAAAAGAAAAAAAGAAAGAAAAGAAAAAAAATAAAGAAAAGAAAAAAATAAAGAAAAGAAAAAAATAAAGAAAAGAAAAAAAATAAAGAAAAGAAAAAAAATAAAGAAAAGAAAAAAAAGAAAAAAGACAAAAAAGAAAAAAGACAAAAAGTGGAAAGAAAAACTAAAAAAAATGGAAATGAAAATAATAGAAAACTAAAAAAAAAGGAAAAGTTAAAAAGGAAAACAAACAACAAAGTAAAATAAAAAGAGGAAGGAAAATTAAAATGAGAAAATCTAAAGAGGGAAAAGGAAAACACCAAAGAGGGAAAAGGAAAACACCAAAGAGGGAAAAGGAAAACACCAAAGAGGGAAAAGGAAAACACCAAAGAGGGAAAAGGAAAAACACCAAAGAGAGGGGAAAAGGAAAACACCAAAAAGGGAAAAGGAAAAAAACACCAAAGAGGGAAAAGGAAAAAACACCAAAGAGGGAAAAGGAAAACACCAAAGAGGGAAAAGGAAAACACCAAAGAGGGAAAAGGAAAAACCAAAGAGGGAAAAGGAAAACACCAAAGAGGGAAAAAAAACACCAAAGAAGGAAAACACCAAAGAGGGAAAAGGAAAACACCAAAGAGGGAAAAGGAAAACCAAAGAGGAAAAAGGAAACACCAAAGAGGGAAAAGGAAAACACCAAAGAGGGAAAAGGAAAACACCAAAGAGGGAAAAGGAAAACACCAAAGAGGGAAAAGGAAAACACCAAAGAGGGAAAAGGAAAACACCAAAGAGGGAAAAGGAAAACACCAAAGAGGGAAAAGGAAAACACCAAAGAGGAAACTTAAAAAAAAAAAAAAAAAAAAAAAAAGTAACAAAGAAGATGGAAAAGAAAGAAGGGGGCAGAGGATAAACAAAAGGGGAGAATTGCGGCGGTGGAGAAACAGAAAAGAAATCCACATGTCGTATTTTTCGTCATACCGAGGACTATTGCTTTATGGACAATTAATAAAGAAAAGCACAATCTCACCTAAAATCTCTCTTGACTTTACTCAAATTGATCCACCGTTTCCTTTTTTGATAAAAAGCCCAGGTATCGTTTAGTGCAGCGCCACTCTCATCTGCTCCCCCGTACAAGACAAACATGATCTCTGAAATGCCACAGGCCATAGAATCATAACGAGGGCTCGGTACAGTAAGGAATGGTGGTGGTGTGGTTTTCTTGTCCTGCCAACCAGAGTGAAGTAGTACCCAAGAATTTTCCTCCGTGCAATGGAGCCATAAATCATTGAGGAGCACTGGATCCTTGTCAGTCTGGGGATCCCAGAAGGTGTGTCCTCCAAACAACCACAGGGATCCTTTGCTATCACCCCAGGCAGAACTTCCTGACCGCGGTCCAGGATGATAGACAACGTAGCCTTGGTCAATGTAAGTGGGGATATCTCTCCATAACCACTCTGGAAAAAAGAGAAAAATTAAAAATGGAAAAAGAAATTAAGAAAAATAAATAAATAATTGGCGAGTAAGAATTAAAAAAGACAGACAAGATAAAAGAAACAGAAGAAAGTCCATTTCAATACGTCTCCCTTTCTTTTTTGTTGTTGCTGTTACAATTTAATGTAACAATGTAAAAAAATAAATTGTAACATGTCTGAGGTAATAGAAACCATTCCATTATGTTTCCCAAAAAGTCATGGCAATTTATAGATTTTTCTAACACTATTGTTTCCCCAATACAAGGCTCAAGAGTCACACAAGGCAGAAGAATTAATCTTGCACAAAGCTAGATGGATTGTACCTGTCAAAGATTTCAGTCAAGGTTTTACAAAAGGGCTGGATGCTCTTTCTGATGCCTAAATCAGAAACTCACTGGTAGTTCAAGTTTATTGAGATATCATCTCTTGGAAAGTTGCCTTCCAAGACTTGAGATTCCATCATAGCCTGTTTAATGATTAAAAATGGCTTCAAGAGAATGAAGCCTGTAGTTCTTTGTGAGGACCATCTTTCTTCAAACTTTGTGGACTGGTGCTGCAGAATCACAAAGAACTGTACAAAATAACAGAAACAACATCATTTGAGGACTTTCAACAGCAGCAACAACTAAAATGGATAGCACATGTAATTCGAAGTGAAAATAATGACATATTCCAATTTCCAGGCATTCCAACCATCTCATTCCAACTGTTTCTTGATTGTAAGTATAAGTCTATAAACTATTCCAAATAATGCAATTAAAATTTCATTTAAAAGACAAGAATATAAAGAAATGATTTTAGACTTGTTCAGGTTTTTTGGTTTTATTTTTAAGACTTTAAATAACTGTTACCACAAAAATCACAGAAGAGAGTAGTCAATGTTTTACAACGGTAGGAAATGTGCAGAAAATGCAAGGATAACAAATAGGATTTGGGCTTCAAAATGGCTTTGGGTTATAAAGCAAGTGAGGAAAAATAGTTCTTAAAAATATATCCTTTGTAAGGGCATGTAAAAAAAACAAAAGAAAAAAATAGAAAGGACAAAAGGCAACATTCTTTTTGAATTATTTTGACAGCCACAATGGGATTTTTTCTGCTTTTGCTGCCAACATATTTCCTTTTTGATTTTAGGTGAAGCCAATCATCTATTTTTGCAGAGTCACAACTTATGTATAGTGAAAGTAATTGTTCTTGTCTGCAATGGTGAAACATGGTCTATAAATGAATGCTTTGGAGCCTTTTCATGCCTATCTGCAGACGACCAGGCATCTTTCTAACTCATTATAGGCTTATTTGCTTTAGTTAAGCTCACAACTTAAATGGAGGAGAGGAAAAAAATACAGTATGGATGTGCCATTCATCACAGACATGCCAAATTAAATCAGTAATTTGTGTCATTAAACTCATCGACACTTGTTCAGTTAAAAAAGGTCCAGATTTTTTTTTTTAAACCTATGAATAGAAATTTTAGACCAATTTATATCATACCAGGTTGGGTTAACATATTTTTTGTTCTTAATGATTAATATTTGTCTGTAAGGGATCTAAGATAAAAAAATCCTTTATGCAAGGCAAATTAAATAATGATAATTAGTTAAAAAGGAAAGAATACCGTAAAATATTATTTACAAGTCTTTATATTTTATAAAATTTTATATTTTTATAAAATTTTATATTTTTATAAAATTTTATATAAAATATATTTTTAATTGAATAAGATGTAGTCACAACAAAATATAATAGTATATAATTTCTTCTATAACAGAACTTGACACCAATAAGCAAATATGTCTCATATTAATTACAGAATATCTCTTAAGTAGGAGATCAGGCTGTTAAGTAAACTTTATTTTTGTTTCATGTTAGCTTTCTATGGCTACTTTTAATTTTAATGATTTAAAAAGCAAAATTTTTTTTAGACACCCAATAATAGATTTCATTATATATACACCACCCATAAAAAGCCATTGGATCACTTTTAAAAGCAGTTCATGATACAAAATGATGAGGTAACAATATTATCAATTTTATTATTAATTACACATATATTTTAATTTGTAAGTTATTGTAATAATTGTTATTACTCACATTATAAATTATTACTTACCTAAAATGCAATAAGAAAAAGTTTCCTTTTTTTTTTAAGAATGGAACTGATATCACACTAAAGGCCTTTCTATTCAAGTAATAGTAGCCCTGAGGTGACAATTTATACCAATTCTAGTAATCATCATATTATCATTTTCAAAGGTGAAGATCATTTCAAAAAAAAAAAAAAAAAAAAAAAAAAAACCTTCTGCTTAGAGAGATTCATATTTATTGAAATAAAGTATGGATGCCTCCTTTTCATGCACTTAGAAAAGACATGAAACTAAGTATTTTTTTTTTCAAAATAATAATAATTATATTTTTTATTATACCTGCTTGTTTATTACTCACATTTATTTCAAAATACATAATAGGAGCCAAACCAGTATATATCTATTTATTTATTTACCATCAAACCATGTGACCCAGTTTTCCAGCCAAAGAGATTACGTTTTTTGCAATGACATCCCAACATAGCCTCTTCACCTTGACTTGACTTGTCTCGGTTTTTACCCTGGTCGGGTTGAACTGGCTTCCTCCTGAGCATGTACAGCATCACGGACCATCACTGCCCACGCTCGCCGATCCTGAGCCAGGTCACATAAAATGGCGAGCCAATCGTGATTCCATCGTTGAAGACCAACTACTTGTGGACCCGATAGTACTGCTAGGTCATCCTTCATTGTGCTAGCCCACGTCCTCAGCTGTCCACCGACATGTTTTTGCCAACCAGGAAGAGAAGGAGGGAGAAATACATCGCAAGCAACGTACCCGAACCATTGGAGACAACACTGGAGCAAGACAGGTGGAAGAGGATGGAGACTCAGGCGATGACGTAGAGTGGCTGTGGGCACATGAACAATTCGGCGGCATTGTAGAATGCAGCAAAGGCAATTGTTGTCAAACACCTCAAGTCATCGTAGGTCATCCGCTCTAAGTGGCCACATTTCACAGCCATAGAGAAGGATAGTCCAAACAATAGCCTGATAAATGCTAAGAGACGAGGGGCCTCTTCACCTATCAAGTAGTTGTTAAACATCTGAGATAGTTGTTTATAAAAAAACAAAATTCTAATGCATTTTAGTGAATTGTACAAATATATTGTGCTATGTATATTTAAATTTATTTAATAATGCTGTTATACAGTATTATGAAGGTTTATTATTTTTCACGCACATAATTGTTGGAATATAAGACGCAAATGTTGTTTATATATGTGGATTGACATAAGAATGTGTATCGAAAACAAATATTTAATTTCTATTAAAAATGCCATAAAAACAGAATAATTGCACTAGCTCAAGTACCATTTTCTCTACTTTTAATGAAATTTGGCACTGCACTCAGCTGGGGGGTAAGAAAGTGCAGTATGCTCCTAAATTGGTTGGCCTATTATATAATATTTAAACTGTAACTTGGGAACAAACATACAACATTGGAGTTTTAGTATTATATAGATATAAAAATATTAGATTACTTATGCAGAAAAAGTAACAAGTGAATTTGAACAATGACTCAAATGTGATTAATTTTTTTTACTAGTTTACTTACATTAAACAATTATTTACAATAAAATCAAACAATTTTTTTTTTACTAGTTTAGTTTAGTAAACAATTATTTACATTAAAATCATGAATATGAAGTAACAACAAAAATAATAAACATGCTATAGAAAGAGTTTTGTTTTCAATAATTATTTCTATTTCTAGTCAATATGAAGCTTGTGACATTTCAAAAGATGGATTGGATTGGAAACAATTGGATTGCAAAACTTTAATAAAAGCAATTGGCAAAAGTAATGAAAATAATTAAATGAATTAAGGCATTTAATTAATTAGTTCTTTAATGACTAAACTGTTTAAATCTCGAGTTTGTAGTAAAAAATCACAATGGTAATTACCATAATTAATTGTGTATTATGTGCACTTCTAACATTTAGGGCATCACATGCACAAAAAATAGACAGACAGTAGGATGTATATTGTACTTTAGCACAACTTAAAAAATATAAAAAGACAATGAAACATTTTCTTTATTAAAATTTACTAATCTTTAAAACAAATACAGTAAAATCCTGCATGTCTGGACATGATTTTGATGTGTATATCTATCTATAAAAGGCAGGATGTGTGTATAATAAATGCACGGCCGCAATTTTTGACAGATTTGCACCAAAATTTACATGCACAAAGTTAGCAGGAAGGCCAAGACCAACTTTTCATTTCCCAACTCCCATCAACAGTGGAAATAATCGATTTTTTCATACTTCTATGACAGTTTTCATGTAGTTTGCAGCCATTTTGTACTGGCCAGAGTGAGAGCCAACAGCTGACTGCCACAAATAGGCAGGAAGATTTTATTGGCCAGCATGAGAGCCAACAGCTGACTGACACGAATGTTAACTAGCATGCAAAA